AATTCCCTGACTCCCCCACTGGATCCCACTGGATATCTTTGGGTGGCTGACCTTCAACCAGGTGATCTTAGCTTATTCTGCTAGAACCAGGACGCCCAAATCTACTGGAAGTCTGGCAACTGTTGGCATCAGAGCTGAGTTGTCAAGACCGATAACATCCTCAGCTCTTGGCAAAGAATGTTTCCCAGGCTTGGCTTTTGCTGACACCACAGGGTCAGCATTGGTACCCTTAGTGCCCACATTACAGTCCCATCTATTGAGCAGGAGGACTTGGTGGGCCTGCTGGCTGAAGGGATGACAGGTAAGGCGGGCACAGGGACTACCTGGAGTGTGCAGGTTGGAGGAGGAAGCAAGGTCACAGTCCTCGCATCAGATCTTGTATCTCTTCAGCTAATGCAATGTGCTCAGTGCCAGACAGTCAGTCTCAGGAGCTACAGGAGAGGAGTTAGCAAAGAAGGGGGGTCCAGCTGGAATGCTGCCTGTCCTGAGCTAGAGAGGCTTCTCACCTGCGTCAAGAGAGGCCTGATTCCTACAGGTGATGAGCAGAGAATTCTGTAGGCCTAGGTTTGGGTTTCTTGCAGGCCAGATTCTAGAACAAAGGCCACCCCCAATCTGTGGTCTTAGTTTTCTGTTACAGGACAGAACACAACCAAACCTTGGAGAACTAACTGAAATTTCTTGGTACCCGTATGCACACTGGGACATCTATATAGGGAAAGCCTATGTGGTCCATATGACTCCACCGAGTAAGCCTGGTTTCTCTATTAAACACGAGGACAAGATCATAAGTATGAATGCAGGCAGAGGTATGGGCTGGTCCTCACACTGCCTGGCACAGCAGGCACTCAATCACTCAATCAGCATTTACTGAATGAATCACGCTCTTTCCCTGTGGTGTGTCTCCTGCTGGTCTTCCTTATCACTGAGTTCAGGGAGAGACAGTCCACCTGTGTACATTTTAGAGTGCATTCAGTCCCAGTTGATCCCGCTGTAGTTGATGAGCATCCCTCCAAAGGTTCAGTCCCCTGTATCTGTGGAGTTCTGCAAGGTCAAACAACAGTAGAAGGAGTTGATCCTTCCAAGAGTTTATACCTGGCTGCAGAGA